TTTTCAACTTTCATGTATTCTAAAATGTAAATCAATTTATTTCTGCGGTTAGTTTCAAAGTAAACGTTGTCCATTAACGTATGCATTTAGTAAATAATAAAGTAAATTCGCGTCAAATTTAATATACATATTTTCTTGGGTTGTTTAACTTCATTGGTGTAGTTTAATTCACAATATATTGGATAGAAATAGTGTTCTATAGGTGTTCTATAGAAATGATTAAAAATAATTTAAATTGAAAATAATTTGATATTATGAATTTAATAGGATATATTGAACGCACTAAAACAACGAATACCACAGAAGCGTCCCAAATGGAATCGAATCTATTGAAGTATTATACAAGACTTCATCGCTTTTTAAAGGTATTCAAAATCAATAAAATATATTATTTATAATTTAAAGCTACAACTTCGAATCTATCAAATTTGGGTCCAAGGTTAAAGTTGATATACATAAATGTATACATTATGAAGCTTTATCATCGAAAAACTATAAATATCGCTCGCGTTTATATCTTATCTTGGAATAATACAATCAGTCAATCACATGTTTGTTTACTAATTGTAAAGGTGAAATCTTCAGTTCTAATTTAGTCGCTCTCGATATTTAGGAATTTCTTCTTGTCTTACCCTGACATACCGAACGTGAATCCCATTTCAAGAGGCTTTCGTGTACCTTCGGGCCGCGGCGGCGGCGCGCTCTTTGAGACATTTGTCTGTTCGTGTTCTTTCACATGTCTGGCACTCTCCTCCTTTCTCTCACGCGAAGTTACTGGTCAACATATATACGGGGTTTGGTCACCGAAGTTGTGACTACCTGCCGTCGCTTCTAATTGGCACGATTTATGTCCGTCGTGGATCGTGCATCTCTCGCCTCGCGCTCGCGGCTAGCCATCGACTCTCCGCCTGTCGAAATTTCCATCGATTCGTGCAAATCGGTGTCTTTCTTCCAAGACAAGAAATCGCGACCACCTGTTGTAGGATTTTTGCAGGGAGGGACTACGTACTGATTCACATGTAATTTCATTCGACGCAGTATCGTTCGGAGTATAGCCGCAGAAAGCGTCTCGTATTCCTAAACAAGGGTTATCGGCGTGGTACAACAGTTAGAAGAATCGGTTTCGCGTTCCTTAATGGAGACTACGTGTTTGCATTACGAGATAATGATCAACACGATCGGAAAATAATTTCGCAATCGGCCGTGTGTAAATCCCGTTCGCGCGTGCACACGCTATCGCCGCCGTGTTCGGTAATATGGCGCAAACAAATCATTATCATCATCGTCATTGCTATAACGGCATCGATGGCGACAGTATTCAACGGTGGATCGGGGTCTATTAATAGCGCGAATTAACAGATTAATCGACGGAAATTCGTTACTATACGCGACCATGTATATCGCGTGTCGGTAGCAAGTGTGTTTAATAAATACGAAGGGAGGTCTGCTTTAATGCGGACCGACCAGTTTGAGGCGGAGAAGCGGTAGCGCGATCGCGCAACAGCAACAGCAGTTACGAGCAGCAGGTGCGTCTCCCCTCTTCGACCTAATCTACATGAGCGGAATGCAGCCGAATTAAAGCTCCGGTCTTCTTGTTGCGATTGTCGTCGCCAACGTCGTCGGCGTAATTAAACGTTTACGTCACGCGCACCGAAACCACGGGTTCCATTTCTGCGCCTTTCTCTTCTTCGTCGCGAGAGCTCCGACGAACGCCGCAGTCGTAAATGTGCTAGATTATAAAGGAGAGTAACGATCGGACGAGCATGTTATTGGGTGAAAAGTGATCGTTACTTCGCGCACGATGGCTGGACAGAACGCATCCAGCGTTCTGCTTTGATTCATGCTAAGATTAATGAAGTATATGACGGTGAGAAATGAACGTTAACGCTTCATACACGTAATGGTCAATCCCGCACGATTATTGGCGAGTTATCTATGGGAATGTCGAATGATCGAGTTGCCACGCATCGTGCATCTCTGGTAGCGTATAGACACGAGAGACACTATACATGATTGCTCTTGTTTCACAATCCCATCCTGATCCTGACTAAGCCAATTATCCTTTTTTTTTTTTTTTTAAGGGAGTGGTATCCTTTTTTGCGACAATCTTCGCCGTATTCTTGTGTATACTCCTCCTTCCATGTACCCGAGAGCGACTTTTGCATCGGGACAGCAGCGTTCTGCCGTCGCATTTCCGGCCGACCTTAATCGTGCATGCGTGACGAGTGCCACGCGAAGGACTTAAGGACCTTATAGCTGGGCATCGCGTGACTTTCGGGGTGGTACATAGGGCCGGTAATTTATTCCCGCCGGGGACCCTGTCCCGAGGTTCCGTGACGTGTCTTCGTCTTTTTTTTTCCCATAATTCGCTGCGCACGGATGAACGACCGTCGCGAAAGGGGTTAGCGAAGACCGAGGGACCATCGTGCTTCTGCGGGCGCTCGAACACATAAGGTGCGTGGCGCCATGGGAATGAGTTAATTACTTCATACGCAACGTGGGTATAGTGGCCGGTAATTATTTCATGTAGCAGATGCCCGTAAGCAGACGTTGAACGCTCGAGCGACAGTAAATTACATTCGTACATATACATCACAGCATTTCTTTTTTTTAAATAAAGTTATTAATTAGTAGCTATTTTTATCTGATGTTAATTGAAAATGTTTGAATATTATATTACAATAACAATTGTACATGTAAAAAAAGAATATTTCTTAAAATGTATTTTATTATATTTTTATAATTATATGATCGAAGTAACGAAGTTTAAATGGCTTGGATTAATTTTCTATCTTGTTGGCTATCAGATTTCCGATCAGGATTCTGTCTTTAGGACTTTATCTACATCCGTTCCTCATTAACAAGAATCGCATGGTGTAGATTTTATAACATTTTTCGATGTTTTGTGATGCTCGAGTCTTTAGTTTAGATTTAGAGAGTATATCTAAATATTAAACCATATCTAAATATTAAATATTTATTACAGATATTTATTAAAAAAAGAAATGTATAAAAATTTGTTTTCTACATTTTTAAGGAATTTCTATAAAATATTTATTTAGATTTGAGATAAAACTTTTATGGGGTATGTCTTAAAATTATATAGTAAACATTTTTTCGTAATTAATAAAAAATTCAAGAAAGTTATTTTTTAAATATTTCTAAAAATATCATAATGTTCGAGAAAATAGTTTCTCCAATCATCATCAGATAGCAGCAATCATCAGTTAGTATAGTAGTACCACACGTGACCACGCGAGGTCTCTTTCGTCATCTCTCACAGTTACACTTTTTCATTTACTCGCTTTCTTTCTTTTCAATGTTTGAATAATAATTGTTACATTTTGCAATTGTTATGCAACCATTAAATATTAATTATCAACAAGATACTATTAAAGACAGTCAATCTTGCAAATTTATTGTTTGTATAAAAAAGGGCCCCCAAGGGCCCAGCGATAATTGAAGAACGTTGACGTTATCGACAATTGATATAAATTTGTGATTTTTGATATAAATATTTGGCTAATACGTTATTAAATTCATGTTTTTTTTATTACATAATTGTTCCATACATAAGTATGCGTATTTGTAATGCTATAATATCTTATATATTGCTGCAAAATTATAATTCTTTCTCTACGATTATCATCTCTGTTGATAATCAAACTTGAACAATAACATTGAAATCACAATTTTAAAGAAAAATCGAGTATTAAGTTTTAAGTATATCTATAAATACGTCTACGAAATTAATAAATCATAAAATTAATATTATATTATCAGTTTCTCATCCTCGATCACTTAAATATTAACAGAGACGCGAACTCTCGTAAGCATGTCAGTCATCTTTTATAGTATCTCGATCGGTGTACTAATTGAACGTAACACGCAATAGAATTTTACTTTTCGATTCGGAGTATAGTCTGATACATTAAATAAAAGCTCTATCTTTGTTGAATTTTTATGTCGGACACGTTCAATCGTTCTGTTCGTTGAATGTAAAGTACGTTCAAGTTGACAAAGCAGCTAGCTTAGAAGCTAACCTACTTGTCGAGCAAATGAATACGATTGATTGTTACTTATAGATCCAACCAATCACATTCCATTATTCGACGAACAGACTAACAGTTTTGTCCGGTTTAAACGCGTCTTATGATTGGTTCTTAGATTCGTTTATTTTGAAATTTCAAAATGGCAACTCTGGTTTTCCGAGTACGTTGAACAAAATGGTCCAAAAAGGTCGACCATGATCGTTGGTGCGTTTCGGATCGGGTGCTTGTAATCGTATAGTTTTGAAAGTGTTGCCGACTTTGACTGCACGTATCTTTTTCTTGATGCGTATCTACTGGTATCTGCGGACTGGCTCGACTCGTTCGTTCGTCCGAACACGTGTTATTGCGGCGTGACGATGTAGAATTGTAGACGCAGGCGCCCGGTGTTCGATCGGAAGTCATTTTTGCGGTTGCATATTTTTGGAAATCGTTGCCGGCTTTGACCTTTGTGCCTGGTTCGACTGGTCAAGATTAACTCGTCAACGAGGGCCATTTATTTTATATCCTAAGAAGAAGCAGGCTTATACAAATTATATATCTTGTGTCCTACTATGGACATTACAGCGTTAATCGGTGGTAGTTGACTTGTTACACATTCATACATTTCACATTCCTCGAGTATCTATTATTTATCTAATAGTAGAGTATATTTTTGCGAATTCTAAATACGAGGGACGAAAATCGAAAACATTTCTTAAAATGGACAAACGTCGGTAGTAAACGATAAATGCATCGTTATGTACCGTTACGTAGAGAATCACAGAACAGGCAAATATTAGCGATATCTCCGTTGCAAAGTGATAGTGTAAGTCGAAAATAATTTATAATAATTGAACGCAGATGAAATCGCTAGCTTCTCTGATCGAGCACATGGATATTTTTGTAAAAACTATTCAAAATCTTGTAACTGATCATGTGAATAATCCTTGGCATTATTGTTTGTTTCAGTGGAGGAAAGTTTATCACCGTTGGCGACAGAATTAGATTGCCAGATGATGTAACAATGGGGTATATCATTGAGTACCTTCTAAAAAAACAGCTCACTGTAGTGGAACAATTCCACTCACACTTGGAGCCGATGAAGTTCCTAAGCAAGGATGCTTTCCATGAACAGGTAATTTCAATACTCTTTGCTTTCTAAATTTTATTTTGAAGAATTTTATGTAGTCTGTTTTAGAGGTTATTTTGAAAAGAGAATTTTTCTCTTTTTTTTAAGTATGCTTTAATTAAGCATTTAGTAATTATATGATGGAATTTGATTTTGTGTTTTCGATTTAGGTGGTATTAAAATGCATCACAGTAAATAATTGTTGATTGTCGGTGTAATTAATTTCTTTTTTATTGATATGTCAATCAAACTTCTGAGCTTCATTAGATTAAGGAGTTCAGTTTAGTGGATCTATTTATAAAATTATAATATATCTCTATAATAATCTCGGTAGCATTTTTCATTGTTCTATAGTTGTTTATCAAGATAAAAAACAGTCACATTTTTTACATTAAAAAAATAAAAATTGGAATTATCATTGTTTTATAAAAATTAGTAAGTCACTGTACTAATTTTTCATAAACCATCTTAATAATATTCTAATGTCTACCATAATTTATCTGCAGAATGATTTGTTACTATAATATAAGATAGAAGTAATCAATATTAATGTCTGTGACATGTTCTGGGTGTATAATGATCACAATAAATAGCATGATGATAAATAATGGTACAGTAATAGGATGATTTGAAGCCCACGGACCTGACTATCCAGAGCACTATCTTTTATTTCACGAAATATAATAGTCATTATTTAATCGTACAGTTTCTGTTTATTATTAGTTCTCATGATAAAAATATATGATTTGTCAATTTGTTATTGATAAGTATCATCTAAATTGGGCCATGTATATTATATTTTCCTTTACATCATCCGCATAAATATATGCAGTGTGATGAATATATGTAAAGGATAATAATAGAAGAAATGAGAGAGAGAGAGAGAGAGAGTGAGAGAGAACTTAATTCTGACATTTATTGACATTATTTTTAAAAATTTGATAAAAATTTTCCTTAAAATTAAATGACTATATTTAGAATAAAAATATCATATATTTGATATGTTCGAAATTATTTTTTTTTTTTAAACTTGCGATTTTTCACAATAAATTATTTATAAATTATTAACTAATTATAGTATAATATATGCGTAAAGATCAAATTACAATGTATAAGTGATTGGATGATCAGCGTGAAGCAAAGTACAGATACAAATTCTTTTTTATATTACCAGTATATTACTACTAGTATCAGATTTCGCAGAAATTAATATATATACACATGTGTATGCATATATGATACATCAAATAAACGATGTCGCTTTTAACATCAGTAAACGTAGTTTCTGTAATATACAATTTGTTAATTGAAAAAAGCTTTTGTGACCTTATTAAATCAAACTATTTTTTTTGTTTTTCAGGTTTCCTTTAGTTATTCTAAGGGACCTAGAGACGAATGGAATGTCCTAAAGATTGATGGTTTTGATATGAAGGATGATCCAAAGAGGTAATATTATCTTGAATTTTATTTTACTTTTATGTACTTCAATTGTTTTCAATATGAACATATTTTCATTTTTGGTGTTTAATTGATCTATACTATTAATTTACTGATAATTGTGCAAAATACATACAACATTTAAAATTTCTGACAAAGTTCTATTTACATTATAATTTTCTGTATCTTTTTGAACTCCTTGCGAGCTCTTTTGTGATGTGATGTTACATCAAAGCTTCAATTGCGTCTAATTATTAATTTTACGTAAAGTTAATACCGGACAAATAAGAAAATTCTTTGAAGAAGATAACTGAATTAAAATATTTTCGTCATCTCTTCAAAGTTTAAATAGAATTCTTTTTATTAATCGAAATTCGTTTAAGTACACGAGCAAATGATCGTTTTGCAATGATGTTGCATCTTAAGTGTAGACATCTGCAATTTGCATTCGCGTTAATGTATGTGCGCAAAATGCCTCATGTTTTCTGTGTAATTGGCATTGGTGAAAGATGGAAGGGAGATGAGTAATTATGAGGCATCACGATGTGCTCTTGTAAGTTTTAATTAATTTTATAATAATTGCGGCTTTATAAGTCTGTTTTTCTCAGGCCTTTATTTCTTTTTATTTTTATCGAGCAAGAAAAATTTCTTAGGCCCGGTTCCATAAATGTAAGATTAATTTTAATCTTGATTCATCTTACTCTTCATCTTTTTCCAATTTTAAAATTAGAACAAGATTTTTCTTTATTTCTATAGTTTCCTTATTAAAGTTTTTTATATCGTAAATATTTGCCAAGTCTTTTTATTTAGTGAGGAATAAGTGAAGTTTATCTGTAAATATTAATGAGGAGAGAAAAACATCGAAATGAGCCGTGATGTTTACTCAACTTTGCGTTATAATTAACGATAAAATGCGGATACATGATGTTTTTCTTCTTTTTGTTGCTCTTTCTGAATGTTTTATTAAAACGTTTTATTATATGTATTGTATATGTATATAAAAATTCATATTACGTAAGTTTGTTGATTGAATTGTCATATTTATTAGGTATAGATGGCATTTATCATAATTAGATATACTTAAAAGATTCATCGTTCAGTTTGCATAATATTGCATTAAAATTTAATATTTTTTCATTAAATGTTTGAAATGTTTTGTTATATAAATATTATTTAACTTTCTGTAACCTCATTATCTATTTTTATATTATCTAACGTAAGGAAATCTGAATTCGTTTATTCCTATAAGAAAAATGAATGAATGAAAATATTAATATATACCTAATCTGTGAACAGTATGCTGCTAAAGATAATGACTTTTATATTTATAGTTGTATTTTAAAATTTTTTATAAAGTGATATTTATAATATATCCTCGTTAATACATATTTATTATATGTTTCATTTTGTTTCAGATTCAAATCCATCCACTGTCATCTGTTTCCACATATTCCTTATTGCCCACACAGATGATGAAGATTGCATATGACGAATAAAAAACAAAATAGAAAAATATTGATCTCTCGCTGTTAAGGAAAATATGAGAAGAAAATGTAAATTCTCGTAAAGAGGACGAAGCAAAATTTATTCTCGATGATGGGAAAAACGGAAGATCGATGTACGGTAAGGAGCATAATTGAGTTAACGAGATATTTTCGAAAAATTGTTTATTTTTACATTTTAAGGCGTGAAAGATTAATATAAATTCCACATAGAATGTTAATATCTATGTTCAAATTTGTTAAAAACGTCAACGTTATATATGGTCACAGAATGCTGAAAAATTTTGGTGTGAAAAAATTAGTAACGAGTTCTATCTGATACACTATCGCGCATATAATTTACATATAATAAATTATAAATGAATTGTAATTTATTAAGAGAACAAACACAAGTACAAAATGAAATAACTTAAAATTTTCCTTTATTTGAACGTAAAGTTCAACGTGGAATGCATATTCTCGCTATATAGAACATTAGTACAAGTATCTAAATCTAAATTTGTTACAAAATGTTATATATGGTCACAGAATTCTAAAACAACTTTTTTTATTATCAATAATTTAATTTAACATGTCAAGATATGTCTTCGTGGCCTGCATGCGACAGGCGGCCCTGACACCGTCTCGATATGATGCCGCCGCGTCTCGTGCTTCATTTCACTCGGACGCCCTTCTGGTCGCGTTACTTCCGGGTATTTCATCATCAATGTGTGATACGGTAGGGACTTGCTTCATTAAACGTTATGTCTTTTATACATTTTTTACAAATAATAAGCGTACTGATAGCAGAAAAAACAGAAAAGAAATCGATAATACAATAACCGTGTTGTCTACTAATACGGAGCTCGTTCATTGAGCCTCCTTTGGCTTCAGACCTCTACATAATTCACGGATCTTTTGAGTTCGAAATGATCCCTTTTCAGCTTTTAAACATTCCTTATAATCTTTGTTTGCTGCAATTTTATGTAGAAGTTCATGCATATCTAAATTTAGTATTGTCTCTTGAGCTTGAGGGTTCAAATTGATGAGTCCTATCATTTCTGGATTAGTTTCTGGAGGACTTATTGCAGCAATCCTTCCATGTCTAATTTTCACATTAAACAATCCTTCATAATCTCCATCAATTGTAAATGTTAGAAATGCAATTTTATCTCTTCTATGAATTGGAGAAGTAGACGGTAAGGATATCAACGGAGAAGTAATATCTTTTTCAACGGGAAGAATATCGAGTTTAGAGATCTTTAACACTGAGGATTCTATTAACTCTTGAAGACCTGCTAAGTTGGATGATATATTTGAGACCTGATTTGCAAATTTCAATGACTCGTCCTCGGTAGTGGATCGGATTTTAGCCATTAAAATTTCAGTTTTAGTGCAAAGCTCGGTGAATTTCGAGTCAAATACCTCTGCGGAATCGTATGTTGGTCGAATGTGTTTTTTCACTCTAGAGATTCCTTTTATATAGTATTCAACAATTTCGGGTTTATTTAATAAATACCCTGCAATATCAACACCGACATCAGAATCGCCTAATTTTGAACATATGGAAAGTATTGGTCTAAGTTCTCTACCGACCCCCCGCATCTCATTTCGATACTTCAGTTTATCGTTTAATTTGTCACTCTACGTGGTATGTACAAATATGGCCTGAAACTACGATATGTTCTATGTGCGCGACCGAGCAACACGTATTCTGTGCACTTACGCAACCACAACCTGTATGGCGACATGTCCATATACTCTCGCGATCCTTTCAACACACTATGGCTACATTGCGCTCAATGCTATAAGTCATTGACAACCTGTCAAATCACAAGTAAAATTAGTAACAATACATGTCAAAAGAAAATTAGTTAAAGATTTTAATATTAAAATTATTAGAATTAATCACATGATAAATATAGTATATTGATCAAAGGTAAAACTTAGAAAAATAATTATAAAATTTATAATTATTAAATTTAATAATCTCAATAATCAAAAGATTTATAAAGCTTTACCATACAATTAAAGGACAAATATCTTGAATTACACATGCGATAATTAAGAAGAAAAGAGTCTTATTAAGTGAAATATAATTATTAGACTTACCTATAAATTTGAATTTATACCTTTACTCATGCTTGACAACCACCGACATCACACCGCTATTTCCCCTTCAATCCAACAAACGCACAGTTCAATCAATCCTGTAAAAGATACAATTCTGTCACATGCTATAACATTTTTACATGTGTTATGCCGAAACAGTCTGTCCCAATTTATTTTCGTCGGACGTATGACTGTCACAGCCTATGGTGGGATAGTTTAAGAGAAAAATCCGATAATTTTTATTTACTTCTTTTAATAACTAACCAGCAGGTATATTCTGGTGTCTTATTCTTGAAATGAATAAATAAGTTATCACTATATGGAGTATCTCCCGAATGAATTAGATACTGAATAAAACCGTTAAGACTCGGGGGACAAATATTACAAAAGTTAATTAAAGAAATTCGTACGTGTATTCTTGATTGCAGTTAGCGCATAGATTATTATGAAATGTTTCCCCAATCTGAATATAATGTAAAGAGGTACTGATATAAGACTCCTGATCGTAGGGAGATTTATCAAAATAGCATGAAGTGCAAATTTTCCAATTATTTGTTCTATGTTGGTAGAACCATTCAGTACAGCAACGGGCTGTGTCGATCCAAGCTTGGAGTGGCACGTTCGGTATTAAATTCAAATTACTATTAACAAATGTTCCTGATGGAGGACACATGAATGAAATTAATAGTGTTCTTCAGAGACAATGTTTATGGTGGCTCCTGGATCGTCGTAAGGATTCCTACCCGAGTGAATTAAATGAAAAAGTCTCCAAAATGACTGAGGTTAGAACCTCTGGATCTTTTATTAAAGCCAATAACGGAGATTCATCAATATCGTCGAATTGTTTAGACAACTCTTGCTTCTTCATTTCTAACTCCTCTTGAGTTAATTTTGTTGTTTTTGTTTCATGATCTCATGATTCTTCTGAGGATGAGTCTGAAGGAGTTGGTCTCGATCGTATTTTTGGTGAGTGTCCTCGTCCTGTTGATCCAGATTTGGTACGAGAGGTTGAACCTTTGGAGGTTTCCATGGTGATATGGGAAGGTGAATTTTGAATGGGAGGAGGGGTAAAAGTTAATCAGGGATTCGATTAAACAACGGAATATGGATTAACGTATTTTTCTTCGGTTTGTCTTAATTTTTTTGCTGATATACTTGTAAAACTAGTTTCAGTTTCAAAAGTATATCTATTTCCAGTAAATTTTCTTTTTTTCGGCGTCGGTTTAAGTGTCTGACCATCACGTTTGGCCTTTTCTGTCCATTTACTTAAAAAATTCGCGTCTGTATCGTTCGGACCTCGAGAATACAATGACCTCTTATAACAGAAACAACCTCTTATAACATAAACTTATTTATTATTTATAATAATTGTGTAATTATGATAATCTTCTTCAGAGACTGTCTCTTTCTTTTTTGAAAATGTTGCTGATTGCTCTTTAATAATTATTGATGTATCAAGCAAGATTGCAATAGATGTCTATTATTCATTGAACTTGTAATTATCAATGCCCTCAGATTTATTAGCCTTTACCTATTTATTATATTTTGAATACTAGGAGTTTTGTATATATTTAATTAATTTAATTTAGTTAAAAAAAATTAACTTACACATTTCTATAATGCCGCATGTACCATGCGGCATGATTGCGCCCACGTCCTTGTCCTTGTCTTGTTACTGAAAGAATAAAAAAAAAGTATAAAAACATCGTAAATAGAAAAAGGAGAAAGATTCAATAATATATAAATAATTTACTATTAAATACCGAGTACTTGATACGCGTATTAAGTACCATATTCTTACCAAATCACTGGATACGCTCGGTATAAAGCTAGGGGATCATTTTAGTCTTATACTCCCGATCATGAGTATCAGACCAAGTTGGTACGCGTACCAATTAATTTAACCGTGTAAAAGGGGTCATAGAAGTTTTGTGCATAAAAGTTAAAAAACTTTTAGTCATGTCAATTTTTCATGCAGTTGCATACTCCGCTCGAATTTGTCTTTCCGTGTCAACGGAACGGGCAAACCTGTCATCCTCAACATCTGTTTTAATCTTAATTATAGTTTCGAGATGGCATACTTTGCTTCTACATAGCTCATCTTTACTTTGCTCGGTGGTTTCTTTATTTATTTCTTTCAGCTGTTTCTTTTTGTTATTGGTTTCTTTATTTATTTCTTCCAGCTATTTCTTTTTGTTATTGTTCGTATCTGGACTTTGTTTTCACGTCAATTTTTCTTTTGGCGGTCTAGGTTGATCCTCCTTTGTAATCCTCTTGCGTGACTCAGATGATAAGTGAGAATAATCACGCTTCTCTTTTTGAATTTTAAGTTTATCTTTTACCCTTGGTCTTTCTCGTGGTCTTTTTCTAATCTTTCTAATCTAATCTTTCGATGACACATCCTTTTATTTTTCATTTTGATCGTACAGCAACTAATTATAATATTCAATATGCTATTTCTTATTAGGCCTTTCCTTTCCATAAATCTGAAAATAAAATACAGCACAAAGAATCAATTCTTTTATAATTATAAAGAATAGAGAGAAGTGAGAATAATTACGCTTCTCTTTTCGAATTTTAAGTTTATCTTTTACCCTTGGTCTTTCTCGTGGTCTTTTTCTAATCTTTCTAATCTAACCTTTCGATGACACATCCTTTTATTTTTCATTTTGATCGTACAGCAACTAATTATAATATTCAATATGCTATTTCTTATTAGGCCTTAATAGTTAATAAATTCGTGGTTCTCCATTTTCGTCCCACGAGTATGGTCGGGGAAAGCCGGTCCATCCGGGCAGAGTCGCCTTGTCCGGGTAAGGCTTATACTACGGGGAGTGTGCCCGTTCTCCCCGAGTTTGCTCGCTAGCGACACTGCTCTCTCAGTGTCATGCATTCCTCACAGCGTTGGCCCTGTTTGTGGATTAGGGTTATTTTTTATAGAGGTTGTCTTCCTCGCGGCCCCGGGCGATTAAGCCAAGTCCGCAGAGACATAACCGTACGAATTCTGGTGTAAGTGGTGCGGATGTAGAAAC